ATGTTTCTTGAATCATTCAAATCGGACACTCCGTTCTCTCAAAAACTGAGTTACCATTTTTCGCACTTTTTGCTGCGTATAGTCTAAATGGCTGGACCTACCTTTGCCAAAAGCTAATCAGCACGTCTCTTTATTAATAGATTCAATTGAAAGAGAATAATAATGAGCTCCTGCCAAAAACATAATAATATTGATTTTTTAAACGCGAAATTTAAAAGTAATCGCAAAAAAATCGAAAATGAAAATTTGTATATATCTTTACGTTTCAGAGGTTTCTGAATATTTTGGAATACCTTAGAAAAAATAGATGTATGTGTGTGTGTGCGTGTATGTATGTGTGTGCGGATACAAATTTTCGTCGACGATTTTGAGAACACGGATGAAGCAATTGGAATAATTAAAAAAACATTCGATTCGTATTGATAAGGAGACGTGCTGATCAGTTTTTGGCGAAAGCAGGTCTAACCGTTCTGAAGATACGGGGCAAAAAGTGCCAAATACGGTAACTCAGTATTTAAAAAGAACGGAGCGTCCGATTTTAATAAATCAACTAGCTGTAAGTGGAATTCTGTCTTAAGGCAATTGGGGCATCGTGCCTTAAGGCAAATTGCTGGAACTTCCCGTACCAAAAATTATTATTTTTTTTTAAAACGATTAACATTTTTGAAAAAAAATTACTTTGAAAAAATAAGATTTTTGAGAAACTATAAATTGGACAAAAAATTAGTTTTTTTTGAAAAAAAAAATTTTTTTAAAAAAATTTTTTTTTTTGAAAAAAAATTTTTTTTTCTTTATTTTGACATATTGTGGAAGATCTGAACTTTTTTTTCAAAGCAATCGTACTGCTTTAACTACATAGAGACAAAATATAAAGCGCGTAAGCGCCGCGTCGCTGTCTAACGCATAAGCATTGGTACGGAACCGATAGGAATGTTAACAAAATGTATACTTATTGTTAAAATCTCTATAAAATGTCTGATAATTTGATGTGCATATGTCTAATGATCATTTTTGACCGCCAAATGGCTCATTTTTTTACTTTTTCCTCTATATCTCCGAAACCGCTGGACCTACCTCCATGAAAGTTGTATCGATTCTTCATCTTGTCAATACAAATAAAATGTTTTTTGAATTATTAAAATCGGACGCTCCGTTCTCTTAAAAACTGAGTTACCGTTTTCGGAACTTTTTGCCCCGTATCTTCGGAACGGCTTGACCTGCCATTACCAAAACTAATCAGCACGTCTCCTTATCAATACGGATCGAATGTTTTTTGAATTATTCAAATCGGTTGATCCGTGTTCCCGAAATCGTCGACGAAAATTTGTATCCGCACATACATACACACACATACATACATACATACACACACACATACACACACACACACACACACACACACATACATCCATTTTTTCTAAGATATGCCAAAATGTTCAGAAACCTCTGAAACGTAAAGATATATAAAAATTTTCATTTTCGATTTTTTTGCGATTACTATAACTTGCCCTACGGGAAGTTAAAAAACATTTTACTTGTATTGACAAGATGAAGAATTGATCAAATTTTCATGAAGGCAGGTCTAGCGGTTTCGGAGATCTAATAAAAAAGTGAAAAAACGCCATTTGGCGGTCAAAAATGATCATTAAACATATGCACATCAAATTACCAGATATTTTATAGAAATTTTAACAATAAGTATTTGTTTACATTCCTATGGGTTCCGTACCAATGTTTATCCGTTAGCCGCCGACGCGGCGCTTACGCACTTTGACATATCGTCTCTATGCAGTTAAAGCAGTACGATTGCTTTGAAAAAAAGTTCAGAATTTCCAAAATATGTCAAAATAAAGAAAACATTTTTTTTTCAAAAAAAAGTTATTTCTTGTCGAATTTATAGTTTCTCAAAAATCTAATTTCTTCGAAGTATTTTTTTTTTCAAAAATGTTAATCGTTTTTAAAAAAATAATAATGTTTGGTAGGGGAAGTTTCAGCAATTTGCGTTAAGGCACGATGCCATACGCCCCACTAGTTTCAAAATATAATCGACGTTAATTTTTTTATCTACAATCTTGAAATAACTGACTGAAGTCATTTAGTTTCCATTGCTTCTATTTTTCATATAAATAAAACAAAAAAGACATGTAGTTAGAAAAAATATTGAAAATATATTAGCGACATAAAAAATTTGAAGATCAAAAAGGAATTTGGTTATAAGTAAATTCCACAAAACCAATCATACCGATTTTTTATGTACATTATTTTGCAGAATATGAAATTAATTAAATGTAAAAACAATGTAGGTGTACATGTTTTCCTTTTTGTAACATTCTGTTTATGGTCGTTGTATGCGATGTTGCGCCAACGGTAAAAAACTGGGTGCGGTAAATAGCTGGTGAACTTGAAATGTTTGCTTTCTGGTACACCAGTTACTAATTAAATTCCATGCGGGGTATTTGTATGCGCTATGGTAACGCAGACACGAATTATTTATTATATCATTAGTTTTGCAAAATAGCCAAAGCAGGAACGTGTCTATGTGTAGAACAGAAAAATACAATTTATCGACTTACCTGCCTGGCCGTGAAAAAACTTAAATGAATAAATATGTTCTGGGGATAAATTGATGTTTATGACGCCTTGCATTATGTGTAGACTAGCGTTGGCGGATAGTTTTGTGCAGGGTTCTAAATATTGGTGGTAGTAAAAGATATTCACTAACATTTTATGAACTATGGACCATAAATAACGTAAATCTAATAAGGATGAGTTGAATGAATTGACAGTTTTATGTGCAACTATTGTAAAAATTGTATTAACTAAATGCAAGCTGCATTTTATCTTATATGTGTAAACAATTGATGTAATCAATTAAAAAACGTTAAATATACAATAATAACAATCAATTAAGATTAAGCAACTCTCAAAATTGCATTTTATTTTAGTGAATTTTTAAAATTACTTCACTTTGGTTGCCTTTGTAATAATTTGCGTAAATCATTCATAGGGCTATCAAACAACCATTTATTTATATACGATTACATATAAACATAAATAAGTACGTAAACCAAAAATCCTGCCACAGTCGACACTTTAAAATCCTTTGATATTCGTAAAAGTATAGTTTTGTTGAAAAAGAATAGAATTAATTTCCAAAGTGCATTTATAAATATAAAACAATGAAATACATGTACATTTGTGAATATGTGTAAATTCTTACGTGCAATTTTGTTTGAATTTTAGTATTTGTATAATTTTTCACGTAGATATGTTTATATTTGAGAAGCAATTAGCAATTGGTATTCTATAAGCTACTGTGATAATTGCCATTAGAAATGTTACCTTTTTATATTTTTGATAAAATGTCGTATAAAAAAATCGTGTTTTTCATTTGCATTTTTGTGACCTAAAAGGTACTAGAAATATAATATTTAAACGGTCCTTTATGGCCATTGCAAATTGATTGTAAGAAACTTTTTTCCCAAAGATCCAGGCATTAATATCTTTGAAAGCATTTTCCCAAAAGTGGTGTTTTTGCAACTGGTCGACATAATATCTCGAAAAGTAATTGATCAATTAACTAAAAGAATATATCAAAATTTGTGAAAAACATGTCGCTATCGTTTGACACAAGTTTATTAGATTTTATTCATTTCGATGATTTTCACAGCTATTCTTGATTTTGAAAGCGTAGAAAAATTTTTTTTGTTTACCATTTTGTATTCTTTTTAATTTTTTTAAATTCCTTGTGTCAAACGGTATCCAAAATCAAAATAAACCTAAATTATTTTTTTTTTTGTTTCAGTCGACTTTCATTAGCTAAATCATGTCAACTGTTTTTGTATACATTTTTCGGGACATTTTAAGGTGAAATTACGGTCAAATGAGAGACAATAAAATTTAAGTAAAATTTATGTTAAAAGTATAGAAATAAACAAGTTAAAAGCAAAAAACTGCACCTTGATTGCATTATTGGTTTCCCTACGATTCATTCTTAAAAACAGTATCAAAAACGAGACCACAAGGTAGAAGACCCCCTTAAGTTTATTGTATCTACTGTTGATAACCAAAACATTAAAAATTAGTATATTTTGCATATTTTGAGGTAACTAAAATGATAAAACACAAAGTTAAAAATTGGTGCTTAGAAAGAAATGGTTGGAATCAAGCCATATATTCATTCAAATAGTTTTTTTAAGCAAGTTATTATTGCAATTTCTTATATTTTTACATACATAACACTTTTTCTTGCATACATATTACTTTTTTCTCATGTACTACATACATTTTTTTTACTTTTTCCTAACATATTACATGTTTATTACTTTTTCCTTTTTATTACATATCTGAATTTTAACTTTTCCCGAAGGTAGACGTCGGTGTATTGACTCTCCAACTCACTCATGGGTGTACAGAGTCAGAGTCCTTGTTTTACTTTTCAAGTACAGGGATACAATCCGAGTACCTTTCTTACTTGTAAGAAGCATGTTGCTACTACAGCTATGGCCCCCTCTGTATATACGAATGCTGCAGCAATGCCCACGAAAGGCCATTTTCACTTGAGATAATATTTGAAATCTATGATTTCAAGTGAAAATTTGGCATCAAGCTGCTTTGATACCGAACCGACCGAGATTGGATTCGAACCCGGGACTAGGATTTGCTAGCCCACGTTCTTACCACGGGACATACTCGGATAAACCTCTATTGTTATCTAAATTGAATTGATATGTAAAAAAATGTTACTTTACGTTAAAAATGATGATACTCAAATAACATCTACTTGAGGTAAATATTCACTCAAACAGCCATAGAACAACATATTCTGGCTGCTGTTGAACAATATGAAAAAAAAACTGAAGTAATGCTTGTAACTTCTACTAGTTGTCACGTATTTATTACATTTGCTAGACGTCCACTAAAGACAGAGGTAAATTACAAGGTGAAAGAAAAAAAATAGAGTCCACTTAATGAATATCATATGTAATTCTAGACGTTACCTGCATGAGCAAGGGCAGAGTGTTGTTATGGTACGCGTCCAGCATCGCATTTGTCGCTCTCAGTTGCTGCACGTACGTGTTGTGGGCATCGCAGTACAATGTCAGTTGTTGGGGTCCAGGAGATGCTCTGTATTCCATGTAGCTATTCTTGTAATTCATACGGGTCTGAAAGCGGAGGAAAATTAATTTTTCAGACAGAAAGGATTTCTTATGCGCATAATACCGTACATAACATAATATGTAAGTATAAAGAATCCTTTCATATATTACGTGCTGCGATTATTCTGCATGACTCGTTTGGAAAACTATATATGAGGAATTGGTAGATAACCAGAAAACTGAACGCTATTGGACCGTCAAAAAATTTGCCATTCTTTGAATTTTCATAGTATCTAATTATTTATACAAATTACCAATTATTTTTAATCATTTTAATTAATTTTTTCATTAATTGAATGAAATAGAAGCCCCAGCCTGCGTTTTCGTGAAACGTGAAAAAACTTTAGAACCAGAATATATTTTTGAAGTAAAAATTCTTTAGGCGCGACTAGGGTGTAATTCCGTACAAATGCAACGGAAGTAGAGATCTGTCGTTGTATGCGTACCGGAAACAACGTTGTATGCGAACTGATATCAACAAGAAATTGGCATAGCTAAATAAACATTTTAAAATTACATCGTAGTACAAATCTTAATTTAATGAAAAATGCCTGAATCAGAATTACCCTGTCCCTTGAAAATAATAAAACAAATTAAACATTTGTGCCGTGTAATAAACGTAAGTTTATTGATTAGAAATTTTAATAAATCTTTGAAGTTAATAAAATGAAAAATATTTTTTAGGCAAGACAGATATTACAACCGTTCACAGAATGAGATTATATCGCCAGCAAAAAAGTAAAAAAAATACAAGCAGTCAATGAATGTATGTTAATTTTAATTACATGAAGTTCTTCAAGCACAATTGCATGATGAGTGATGTTGCAAAAACAATATTTGTTTAGGCGTTGTTTCACATAATCCATTGTGGGAACGAATATTATAGAATTAATTAATAAGCAATTACTTCATTTTTTAATGAAGGTTCATTTCTAAATGCTAATTACAATGACAAACCGATCATGTCTTATTTGAAGTATGACAACTCAGATAACATCTACTTGAGGTAAATATTCACTCAAACAGACATAGAACAACATATTCTGGCTGCTGTTGAACAATATGAAAAAATAAAAACTGAAGTAATGCTTGTAACTTCTACTCTTTGTCACTACTACTACTCTACTGTTTTTAAATATTATACATATTTTTAATGCTATTATAAAAATATAATTTACAATTTACCATTATATAAATGTGTATAATGGTTAACACTAATAAATATGTGCATCACGAGTGTTAACATATTAATTCAGTCATTTTAGCATTTCACCTCGGTATGTGAGATACCCAGCTTTATGTTTGTAAAAACATTTCGAATCAAACATTATTCAAAATTGTTATATGATGTATTTATTTTTTACTTAAATGCCATCTTGTACAGTAGCAAATAAGTTTTACTACAATAGTGTGTGAACCTTACGTGCACTCTTTTTTAAATTTATAATGACATGAATTCATAAGTAAACAGATTTTTTATTCTTCTGGAGAACAATGAAATATTTTTCCAACAAGTAATTATCTAATTCTGTTTCAAACATAAAACTGCAAAAGTATTTTAAAACTTGATTGAATTCCTGTAGAAAATCATCTACTAATAAATTAATAATAACAATATTTTGATATATAAAAAAATGTTGGTTTAATTTACAATTCAAATTCATAAAACAAGATTTTCAGTTAGGAGTGCATGTCTATTATATACGTCAAAGGATAGTATAGTTTGAAACATTCATAAGTAATTATTTGCCAACTGTTGCATATTTACATTAATGTAAATATACGTATCTGTTAGTTTATTATAATGGAAATGAAGCTTAACAGAACAAAGAGTGTTTATAAAATAAAAGTAATACAATTTCCATTAAGAAAACATCAGTTCTTCTGGAGTAAACAAAGCTGACATAATAACATGCAAGTGAATTACCATGGTACAAAATTAAAAATAGGTCATATTATTCTTTTTTTCAAACATGAAAGAAGTTATAAAATTAATAGTGTTCACTATAGCGTGCTAGAATTATATTTTTTTTACCTTTGTGAGTTTTTCTTCTGTTTTTGCAATTATTGTATCAAAGCTCTCCCTGTTGCTGAACAGTTTTCTAGACTGAACTTTACGATAAAAGGATCGTTCTAGTAATGGTCTTGACACCTGAAAAAAAATAATAATATTACCTTGAGCAAAAGTCCTATAAAATAATTTTGTATATCAAAAGGATAGAGGTTTCTGTTAAATTATTATATGTAAATATTTCTATACCAATTGTATAATCCAAAATTAGTAAAAAATGCAAAGATTTTACAGATTTCTTGTACTATATTGAAAAAAAGCAAATTATATTTGATATGTATTATTTCTGCATAGTTAACAACTATTAAATTTAGAGTATGAATACCACAAGGTATAAAAAATTCCTTAAGATTTTCGTTCCAAAATAAATTTTGTTTCCATTTTCCATATTTGTTCCATTTCCATAACCCTAACCACACATATCTTCAATATTCAAAGTTCATCAGGTGCGAAACATTTGCAACAAAAACAAAAGTTACAATTCAATTTCTCGAAAAAAGCATGCCATTTTCTAAGCACTGACTCCCCATTTTTTATTTTTTCGATTATAATTTGTTTATATTTTTTAACAATTTCAGTTTCAAATAAATCAGCTCGCAATTTTCCGTCGATAATGCCCAATAGTTAAATTAATCTTTCGCAGGTTTGCGCTTATGAGATTGAACAAGATATTTTCTCTTTTGATTTCACGGTAACATAAAACAAAGAAAAAATTGAATAAGTAGATTAAGCAATAAATATGACTGTAATTCACTAATTTGCAGCTGTTAAAATTAATTGGTTAATTGTTTCTACTGATATCACATTGCAAAATAAATATGCTTTTTTGTCTCCGTACCCATAGTTAAGTTAGATTTTTTATTATAATTTATTAAGTATTCTAGATTTTATATAAATAATAAAAAATATGAATAATATATTATAAATTTAATTTCCGAAACTCGTTTTAGCGCCCCCTAAGGCGTGCGCCCGCATTTTTTGCATGCATGGCATGCAAGGCAGGACCGGCCCTGTATATATATATATATATATATATATATATATATATATACACTACACCCACATATAATGTATTATTATAGGTACGGATATAATGCACTAAGGTATGTCTCCCCCCAGAAAATTTAATAAGTTTCAAAAACCTATATGGCGTAATAAAATGTATCTCACACCTTACAGAGCCTCAGAATATATTAAACACCAAACATACATAAGCCTAAATGCACGTGTATAAGTTTATTATATTATATTTGTACAAGTCGGCCTTTTACGCTCGTCACACGTTCATATATGCTTTTCATAAGAGACTTTATTAAGATGGATGCCTTCGTGATTAAAGTTTGAAAGCGCAACCAACCTTTTGGCAGTAATTATTTTTGACAGGACAGGAAAATCGCATTACTGTTACGGAAATAAAAGACATTATCGTGACCTCAGGTATCTTCGTACGTTTGCACTTATTCTCTTGAATTGTACGAGTGTGTTTGTGGGTGTTCAGCTACGGGATGATACACTACTCTCGTGTGTTTGCAGTACTTGCCGGTGGCAAGTGAAGCGAAGTGATTATTGCGCCGCGCCGGTCCTACGTCCGCGATTTGTAGAGCACTGACTAGGGTTTGCGAGATGGAACATTATTATACCAAAAAAATATTGTAAACAGGAATTTTAAATGATCAGCATAATATAAAACAATGTTATTCAAACTTGATAGTATACAATTATATTTGAAAATACGATGACTGAAGTTTCCTAAACATACAAACAAATGAAGTGTTGAGTGAATGAGGTTATATCGCTAGCTAAAAAGTAAAAAAGATACAAAGCAGTCAATGAATGTATGTTAAATTTAATTACAGGAAGTTCTTCAAACAAAATTGCATGATGAGTGAAGTTGCAAAAACAATATTTGTTTAGGCGTTGTTGAACATAATCCACAGTGTGAACGAATATTATAGAAGTTATTAATCTGTAATTACTTCATTTCTTTAATGAAGGTTCATTTCTAAATGCTAATTACAATGACAAACCGATCATGTCATATTTGAAGTATGACTTTAATTACATTATTGTTTTTAAATATTATACATATTTTTAATGCTATTATAAATATATAATATATAATTTATCATTATATAAATGTGTATAATGGTTGACACTAATAAATATGTGCATCACGAGTGTTACCATATTACTAATAAACATTATTCAAAATTGTTATATGATGTATTTATTTTTACTCAACTTGAAATTGCTGCTTTTTACAGTAGTAAATAAGTTTTACTTCAATCGCGTGTGATCCTTACGCGCACTCTTTTTTTTTAAGTAAAACTTCTTTAGACGAAATTACGTTACGCCCGAGCTGCGCGTCATTTGCTCTCGATGAAATAGTCGTCGTGTTGTGTGAATATCTGTCGTTGTATGCGTACCGGCATTAACGTTGTGTGCGTACCGGTATCAACAAGGAAATCGACATAGATAAGTAAACATTTTAAGGTTACATCGTAGTACAGACCTGCAAAGAAGGAGGTATTCCCTTATTTCCCAAAACGTAGAATGAAGCACAAAAAATTAATAGAGGAGTTTTTGATGAGAAATAGGAAAGTTTTTATTTAGAAAATTAAAATCAAATGATAATATCAATTACGTAATAGTATTCTGATGAATATTAAATTCATATAGCCAAGTAAATCCATACAAGATAAAAAACCAGCGCAGAATATGCACATTCACTATATTCAAAATGCCAATTTTCATTACTTACTACTTCATTCACTGCGCGTATAATTTAAATCAGTGCATATTCTAAACTTTTATTCGTGTGTTATGTAAATTTTTATAAAATCTATATTTATAGATTGAACAGTCATGAAAATTCATATTGAACAATTTCTATTGTGATCAGCGGCTTTTCATCAAACAAATACATTCGATTAAATTACTAAATTAAAATCTTAATACATCTAGAGCTCTATGAAACGAAAAAAATTAACAATTGTTGAATGAAGTTGTCTGTAATGAATTATTTTAGTATTTTTACGGTTAAGTAAATGCAGCTTTCAATTTTTTGTGCTGAATAATTTGGTTGTTTTGACACCATTTCGGTAAAAACAAAACGTCCCAACATTTGAAAGCTCTCGTTAAAATATTTTTGAAATATTTATTTTATAATAAATAAATTTTTACTCTATCACTTAAAAAATTCAAAAGCCAACTTTGTGAAGACTACCTATTTACCCTAAAGTTAATATATAGATGTCTAATAAATTGGTGTCTGAATAAATTTTAAAAACACCAAGAATATCTATTTACTGTTTTGTAATCGTATATACTAAAATTTGTTTTCATAGTATTCTAGATATAATACAGATATTTTGAAATAAAAAACTATAATAATGTAGCAGAGTATAATAATGAGCTAAAGGTAAATATTGTAAGGATTTATGTAAGCAGTAAACATGGTAGACATAGCAACAATTATTCCGTTACAATAATATTTTATGGCCTAAAAATTCACCTTTTGATTGGTTTTCTTAAAGAATTTATTTTTTTATTTTGCTGTTGAGTCTGTGAGGAATCGTATTATTTGCCAAGTATTTGAAAAGTTAATATTTGAATGATGAGCGTTTCTTACGCACGTCTATTAGTAGTTAATAATTTGATTTTCCAAATTTTGAAACCCATGGTTTGGACGACAGTAGTAATGCTAACGGTCTTGAGAAACTTCTTTTTCAGTCTTGTTGAGACACTCAAGCTGAGTGACTATAATATGGTCTTACAGTTTTAGGAAATTTTGAACACTGGTTAATTTATTACCCTGTTTAAAAATTCTATGTTAAGATATTGTAAGGTCTAATTGGTGACAAACCAAGCAACATTCGGTGATCTGCCTCAAAATTTTGTCGTTTTTATATCATACTAGTAGGTTTGTTTGTAAAGCGTAGTAGATAAATACAAATTATTAAAGTAAAACTTCAATTAGATTATAAAACGAAAGATTTGTTCAGGCGATGTTTAACATAATCTACTGTGTAAACGAATATTATAAAATTTATTGAAGCAATTACTTCATTTATTCAATGAAGTTTCATTTCTACATGCCAATTACAATGACAAACCGATCATGTCATATTTGAAGTAAAACTTTAATTACATTAGTGTTTTTAAATATTATACACATTTTCAATGCTATTATAAATATATAATTTATAATTTATCATTATATAAATGTGTATAATGGTTGACACTAATAAATGTGTGCATCACGAGTGTTACCATATTACTAATAAACATTATTCAAAATTGTTATATGATGTATTTATTTTTACTTAACTTAAAATTGCTACTTTTTACAGTAGCAAATAAGTTTTACTTCAATCGCGTGTTATCCTTAGGCGCACTCTTTTTTGCATTTTATTGTAGCTGTGTACCAATACAAATATTTTGTAAAAACTTATGTGAGCTTTGAATTGCTATAGGTGGTAAATATGATCCGCTTTGTATATATTCTTTATTTTGTAATCTTTATCCATTTGCACTTAAAATGCAACCCCTGGGCCTGGAACAACGAAGCGGCGTACTCGAGTACATTATCAAGAGTGCCCGTAGAGACTATACAATCTGCTTGGCACCTCACACCAGCGCACTTAATGGAACACAAAAGTAAAAATAGATATTCTTAAAACACATATTGAGTGACTTCAGGATAGATAACGTAGACAATACTTTAAAAAGAATATTTTGATAGTGAATAGCGGCTTTTTCATTTAATTTATCATAATTCAGACATCTAGTAATTTGAATTGTGACAATATTAACGCGGATTCGAAACGTAAACAAGCAATAATAATAAAAATAGCCTTTAATAAATTATATTGAAATCTTTTTTTTTTTATAAAAGAGTGCGCGTAAGGTACGCACGCGATTGAAGTACAACTTGTTTGCTACTGTACAAGATGGCATTTAAGTAAAAATAAATACATTATAACAATTTTGAATAATGTTTATATAATGATAAATTATAAATTATATATTTATAATAGCATTAAAAATAAAATAATTAAATCAAAGTCATACTTCAAATA